AGAAGCCGGTGACCTCTAGACATGGGGGCCAAGAAGTCTCCTCTCAGCCTTAGACAGATATCCAGAGCCCGTGGTGTTACACTGAGTGCACAAAGGGACGGAGGTGCTGTGGGCTACATGTCAACATGTGTGTGCCTGTGTGTGGGAGAATGTGGATGTCTACTTCAGGGACAGATGTGCCCAGGTTGATGCCTGTATACACAGGTTCATGCACACAGGACAACAGCTTTACAACCTGAAGCTTCACCTGCTGCGCTAGGGAGTCAGGACACTCAAACCGCCTGTCAGAGGCAGACCTGCATGAGAGAGAGCCCTTAGCTGGGACTCCAGCTGCGGGCTTCGCTCTGGCTCTGAGGTAGAACTTTAGATGAATCACTTACCGGTCTCAGAACTAATTGGCTTTCTAATCTGTGAAATGAGATACCGATCACACAATGCCACTAGGAAGAAGTCCCTTTCTGAGCCTAAGGCCAGGGAAGGCACACACTGCCACCGCTGGGCGGAGCTAAGCATGCTAAATCCCTCGCCCCCTCTCCCCCCCGCCCCTCGGGGTTGGGAAGGATTTGGCACAGGGTCTTGCTAGATTAACAACCTGGCTGACCTTAAAATTGCTACATGTAGACCGGGCTGCCTTCGAATCTGCAGCTCTTTCCCGTGCTAGGTTCTAAACTGCGGTACTGAAACTCAGGAACCCTTCTTAAATACCACTAGCACCCCAGAGCCCCTACAGCTGTTCCTGGCAGACAGACGGGGCAGATTACTTCCCTTTGTTCAGAGCGGAAACAGGCTCAGAGCGGTTACCGTAACCAGGGAAACTTCACCCTGGGAGGCGGCACAGGGATTTCTCAACACGGGCTTTTGCCCGAGCAGAGGCCAAAATTGCACCGTTTATCTGGAAAGGCTGGAGCAGGGCGAGGGGTTATTTTTTTGTCGCCCAAAGGGACACCCACAACCCTGGACTCCGCCTAAGTGCCGCAGGCCTCCTCCTCCTGACCCTCCCCGGCGCCGCCCCGCGTCCCGGCGGTGCCAACGCCGCCCTTCGTTGTTCCCAAGGCTGCGGCTGGAAGTTCGAGCCCCTGCTCGGGGAGGAGCTGGACCTGCGGCGCGTCACGTGGCGGCTGCCCCCGGAGCTCATCCCGCGTCTGTCCGCCAGCAGCGGGCGCTCCGACGAAGACAGCAGCGTTGCTGGGGGCGCGGACGGGGAGGGCAGCGGCTGGATCCGCGGGGCAACGCCCCGGCCCCCGGGAGGTGACCGCCTCCCCCGGTGCGCCTGCTCGGGTCCTGGGCTCACCTGAGTTGCTCCGGTCCCTGGTTTCGGTCAAGCCGCCCACTAGAGTGCCCTGCCTGTCCAGGATCTGCACAACTGCGTGCAGACAAGCCTCGGGAAGCCAAGGGCGCTACGGGCAAGCGCTTGGGCTCTCCCCAGGGGAGGATAATGCAGGGACCTCCCGGAACTGGAAGGCAAGCCTTGGGCCAGAGTCACTGCAGGGGAATAAGCTCCCGGCAGAGGCTAACTGTGCTCGGGTGGAGGACAGTATGGCGCAAGACAGGCTTGGAAGACTTTGTATAGTTTGTTTGCCTCTGGGAACCCAGGGTCCTGGTAGTTTGAGAAATTGGCTCTAATCCTTAAGGCTGCCCTCGACACCCCCAGGGCCACAGCCTGCCCGACGTGGCCTGTCACTGTCTGCGGGCCTCGCTGACTGACTTCTCTCCCCATGCAGAGCACCTGGTGAACGGCCGGATGGACTTTGCCTATCCGGGCAGTGCCAGCTCCCTGCACAGGATGACCGCGGCCAATGCTGCCTACGGCACACATCTGAGCCCGCACATGTCCCACCGAGTGCTGAGCACATCCTCCACCCTCACTCGCGACTACCACTCTCTGACCCGCACTGAGCACTCTCGCTCAGGCACGCTTCCGCGGGACTATTCCACCCTCACTTCGCTTTCCTCCCAGGGTGAGTGAGTGACCCCCGCTTCACCCACTGACCTCCCGACATCCCGACTCCTGGACAGCTGTCTGTCGGCCTGCTGCCCATGCTGCACACCGGCGCGTGTGCACACGCGCACACACACACACACCTTCTCACTTCTGTTTTGTCCTGCCCTAGACCTCCCTCCTATCTGGGAAGATAGGAGGAGCAGGCTTCCGCTGTCTTGGACCCTTGGGTCCTGGAGCCGGGCTCAGATGAAGGGTACCCCCGCATCCAGGGGTTCACCAGACTCTATAATCCTGGCTGGGCAGTCAGCAGCACCCTCCTGGGGTACAGGTAGTACAGGGGTGGTCACCATATACCTGTGGCTGCCATGCTCCACCTGCCACCCAGCCACCATCACAGCCCAGGCCACCACTGCCTTAGCTTCATCGCATTCATAACCCCTGTCCACCCACAGGAGCTAACCACTGCCCTGCCCTCATCAGCGCCGAAGCCTAACACAGCATCTGCTCTCCTGGGGTACAGAGCAAGACCTGGGCAAGGAGCAGGGCCAGCTGTACAGAGTGGGCTGGGGAGTCAGACTCAAGGGGGCCCCCCCAAGCCTGTATGGGAAGTGTTGGGCAGCCAGGACAGAGTAGTGTGAGCCTGCCTGGCTGGAGAGGCAGGCCAAGTGAGCCGGGGTTGGACTGTGACTCATCTCAGACCCCAAACCCTGTCTTGGACTGACTGTGGCCTTCAATATCCAGACTCCCGTGGGGCTGTGGGTGTGCCTGACACACCCACTCGGCTGGTGTTCTCCGCCCTGGGGCCCACATCTCTGAAAGTGAGCTGGCAGGAGCCACAGTGCGACCGAGTACTACTGGGCTACAGTGTAGAGTACCAGCTCCTAAATGGCGGTAAGGCACAGTGACAGACTGCTGTAACACTTCCAGGCACGTCTCCTCTCAGTTCAGTTGGGCCAGGAAGCCCCACCCCCACCCCCGAGTCTGCCGAGCACGAACGCCCCACCCAGCCATTCTCCTTGCCCTCCACCCCCTTCACTCCCCACCCCCTTCTTGGGAGGCTTCACCCATCTCTCTGGGCCTGCACTGTTCATTTCCTAAACTAGGTTTTGCTTAGTGAGCGTTTATAGACCCAGGGCCTCTGCTAACTCGAACGGCCTTTGTGGGAACTGGGGAATGGAACACCCCTTGGCATACACACTCAAGCTAACGTGAGGCCCGTCACCAGAGTCCGGGGTTTGACCGGAACACCAGTGCCACAGCAGGGTTCCACTTAGCTCGGATGTTTGGCTTTTCTTCTTTGAGTGCAGGGGCCTCAAACCCAGAACTTCTCACATGTTAGGTAAAGGCTCTACCACTGAGCTACAACATCCCTAGCTCTCACTCATTCAGTCAACAACCCAGCACAGTACCCTGGACCCAGTCCCCGGCAGACCTGGTGAAAGGGTCAGGTGTGGACCAGGCCGGGGCGGGAAGGAGTAACGGCGGCCCGCCCCCTGCTCACTCCACCTCCTAGGCGAGCTGCACCGGCTCCACATCCCCAGCCCTGGCCACACCTCCGTGGTGGTGGAAGACCTCCTGCCCAACCACTCGTATGTGTTCCGGGTGCGGGCCCAGAGCCAGGAGGGCTGGGGCCGCGAGCGAGAGGGCGTCATCACCATCGAGTCACAGGTGCACCCGCAGAGCCCTCTCTGCCCCCTGCCAGGTGAGCCGGCTGCCCCCTGCTGCCTCTGCCCCCTGCTGCTGTCCGGGTCACCCCCCACCCCCACCCCCGACTGACACTCTCCCTGTACTGCCCCAGGCTCTGCCTTCACTCTGAGCACCCCCAGTGCCCCGGGCCCGCTGGTGTTCACCGCCCTCAGTCCAGACTCCCTGCAGCTGAGCTGGGAGCGGCCTCGGAGGCCCAACGGGGATATCCTTGGCTACCTGGTGACCTGTGAGATGGCCCAAGGAGGAGGTGCCGCCTGTCCCGGAAGTAGGGTGGTTGTGGGGGGGTGGAAAGGCACCCCAGGAGCTGAAGGTGTCTTCCCTGTGTAGGACAGGCCACCACATTCCGGGTGGATGGAGACAACCTTGAGAGTCGGCTGACGGTACCTGGCCTCAGTGAGAATGTTCCTTACAAGTTCAAGGTGCAGGCCAGGACCACTGAGGGCTTCGGGCCAGAGCGTGAGGGCATCATCACCATCGAGTCCCAGGATGGAGGTGGGATGTCTCCCCATCCTCACCTGAGTCCCTCTCGGGCCTAGCCATACATAGTACCAACCCGACTGACGACTGATCTGCCTGTTCTAGGCCCCTTCCCGCAGCTGGGCAGCCACTCTGGGCTTTTCCAGAACCCACTGCAAGGCGAATATAGCAGCATCACCACCACCACCCACAGCACGACCACGGAGCCCTTCCTCGTGGGTGAGTCACCAAGGGCAGGGGACCCTGACTCCCGGGAACACAGAGCCAGTGCAGGGAGGGGCAGGGACCGACACACGGCCCTCCTGATTTCTTCCCTGCAGATGGACTAACCCTGGGGTCCCAGCGCCTCGAAGCAGGGGGGTCCCTCACCCGGCATGTGACCCAAGAATTTGTGAGCCGGACACTGATGGCCAGTGGATCTCTCAACACTCAAGTGGACCAACAGTTCTTCCAGACCTGAAGCCCCCAGGAACCTGGGCCCCTCCCTGCCTTCTCTCCCTAGCTCCTTCTTCCTTCACTGTTCCATCCACCTGCACGCTGCATGCTGCCCACAGGGCCAGCACCTCTAGCCAGAGAGCAGGGGTAGGTGCCCTCTGGGAAGCATGAAGCAGGCAGAGGTACCACAAGGCCTGACCGCATCCTGCCCTGGGTTCAAACCCACTTGCAACCAAAGAACTAGAGGTAGCACAAGGGCCCAGCCTTCGTTTTGCACATAATAAAAAATTTTGCTACTGCTTAGCTGGCCTGTCCATTCTTCATAGGCCAGAGGGGTGTCAACCTGCAGAAGAACAACAACGGTTCTCACGATGCCCATCCTTTGATCCCAGAGCATGTACCCACCTCCAGAGGCAGGTGGCTCTAGAGGCTACCACCGTAAGAGGCACAGGTTTATTAAGCACCCAGACGTAGAAGGAGGATGCCAGAGGCAGAGCTGCAGCATACACACACCTACGCCTGTGTGTCCATCGGTCTCAGGAACACCTCACAAGCCCAGCACCTGGGCTCCGTCGGCAGCTTGGGAGAGGTAGAAGGATGCTGTGCCACTGTACTGCTCCTAGGGGAGAAGCGGGGCTGAGAAACGGGTGACCCGGGTACCCGTCTCTCCTGCCCTCCCAGGCTCTGGCAGGCAGGCACCCACCTGTATGTGATGCATGGCGAGGGAGGCAGCAGAGGCCTCCAGCAGTGTCACTGTGCAGCCACCAAAGCCACCACCTGTCATACGACTCCCATAGACCCCAGGCACAGAGAGTGCAGCCTCAACCAATTGGTCCAGCTCAGGGCAACTCACTTCATAATCATCCCTGCCAAGGATACAGGAACGAGAGGGATGCAGACCTGGGACCCGCCTACGCCCAAGAAGCACAGGGCATCCACAAGGCCTCACCTGAGTGAGTAGTGACTTTCCACCATGAGACGTCCAAAGGCCCTGTAGTCTCCACGGCTCAGAGCAGCGGCTGCCTGGGCTGTTCGCCGGATCTCACCGACTACATGTCGGGCCCGCCGGAAGCCCTCCTTGCTCATCAGCTCCCTGCCCGCTGAGGAGGAACAGAGTTCAGCAGCCCCACCGCATACTACCCCGTTGTTACCTCAGGGTGCGGGAGAGAAACCTGGTGGGCAGTGGCCAACCATTGAGTGAAGAGCTGCTTACTGAACCCTCCTCAGTAAAGGCGGGGACTGAGAGAATGGGCTTCATCCCAGACCTGGTTCTCAAGGGGCCCCCTCATCTCAGAGCTCTCTTTCTCACTGTAGAATGGGACAACTGCATTGATCCATCACTTGAGATCCACAGAGGACTGCAGGAAATGACATGTTGAACTCCCCACAGGGAGCCAGCATAGAGAGAGCTCAGTACTCTGGGCCCATTAACTTTTAGGGCTTTCAAGATGAATGGGACAAAGTGCAGGCCTTGAGATTTTTCTCTACGTAGCCCTGGCTGTCCTGAACTCACTAAGTAGACCAGGCTGGCCTCGCACTCAGAGATCCGTTGGCTTCTGCCTCCCAAATGCTGGGAGTAAAGGTGTGCTCCACCATGTCTGACCTGAAAGGGCAGGCTTAAGATTTCAAGCAGGATAGGGAATGTGGCTCACTGGCAGAGCACTTGCCTGGCACATACAAGGCCCTGGGTTTTAGTCCCATCAACGCCAATCATTTCTTTCCAAGTAGCCCTGCTAAAGTTGGAACCCTAGGTTTGCAGGATTTGGGGGGATACATTTTTCAAGCAGAACATGAATGGACCTGGGGATGAGGGAATAGACAGAAGGCCATATGGACATCCCAGCAGGGAGCCTGGCTGTTTCTAGGACAGAACATGGCAAGCTGGCTCTCACCCTCAAGCTCCTCCAACCGCACCTCTCGAAGGCTCTCCTTGCCCAGAGCCTGGGCCACTTCTTCGCACTGGCGCCGCCGAATCGGATACTCGCTGGAGGCCAGGGAGTGGCGGACATTGGAGTTAGTGATGAGCACAGCCAGCTTGGGGTCCGACAGCGGCACCAGACTTGTTTCCAGGGACCTGGGGTGAACGAGGTTGGAATGAGGGAGCTGTCGCAGCCAAGGGTCTGCTTCCCAGACCAAACAGTGGGCACACTCCACTCAGGAGCTCCTGGTTATGAGGTGGGGGATACGAGGGGAGCCCCTGACCTGCAGTCAATGAGTAGCGCATGGCCTTTCTGCCCCAGCAGTGCGACGAGCTGGTCCATGATGCCACAGGGCACCCCTGCGAAGCTGTGCTCGGCCCGTTGACACACCTGGGCCCGGGCAGCTATTGCCCCCGAGTCTGCGGCACAGGGTGAGGTGGGGAAGCTGGGGTCCAGGGGAGGGTCCAGGGGGTGGCCACCTTGGAACAGCAGGGCTCCAACGACAATCGAAGGGACTCCCCACCCTCCCTCCCTCCCTAAGCCCAGTGAGGGAAGAGGCTCTGACCACAGAGGCCTCTGAGAAGGGAGGCGGGGCCTAAGTGATACCTGGGCAGAGCTGCTGGAGGAAGGTGTATGTGGCCACTTCCAGAGAAGCTGAGCTGGAAAGCCCACCCCCCAGGGGCACTGAGCTGACCACCACTGCACTGAAGCCAGGGAGGGGTGCGGCTGCAGGGGAAAGAAGGGTGCTGGTAAGATGGGATGCGGGGAGTGCCGACATAGGAAGGTCATGTGTCTCACCAACCTGCTGACCTCAAGGGGCCCACCCACCCTTCCTCTGCTACCTTCCGAGTTTGCTGGGGTAATCTTCCTACGTGCCTTCCTGATTTAGGGTTCCAGAGACCAGCGAGCTGACAACTGAATTCTGGCTCCTCTAAACATATAAAGGAAACCTACAGCAAATTCCAGAGCTACCAGGGCCTCAGATCCCTTATCTGTACAAGGGAATGCTCCACCCTGGATGAATGACAATGGATGCTCCTCCCTCCACCCTGGATGAACAGACTTGGTGGTGGTGGTGGTGGTGGTGGTGGAAGCAGTCCCAGTCGCAGCCAGGGTTTCATACCTGGGTAATGTTGGATCACTCCCTTGACGTAATTGGCCCACTGTGGGACTCCAGGCTCCAAGGACCGCTGGGCTGTGGGCAGTGGGAACTGCAGTCGTTGAGGTTCGTCTGCATCCTTGGAGGTGGTGAGAAGAGAGACAAGCCCATCTGTCCGGGGGCTGCCAACCAGGATGGTCACAAGCTCCAGAGCCTGAAGGAGAGGGTGTGTATCATCTATACCAGCTACAGATTAGACCATCCAGGACCACAGGGCCACAGCATAGCCACAAAACTCATTTTTCCCCCCAAGACAGGGTTTTGGCTGTCCTGGAACTGACTCTGTAGACCAAGCTGGCCTCGAACCCATGCAGATCTTCCTGCCTCTGCCTCCTGAGGGCTGGGACTAGTAAAGGTGTGCATCACTCCCAGGCCACAAACCATGAGCACATGGAGGGAAGGCTTGCAGATGGGTGGACTATCCCATTGCAGACAGGAAACTCGTGTCCTTTGAGGTTCCAGAACGTGCCTGGGTCTCCCCAGGGTGATTAGAGCAGACGGATTCAAAGCCCAAGGTTCTGTAGTCTGGGACAGACAGGCCTCGGAGGGAAGAGAATCAGCTTGAAAGGAATGGTGTGAGGATCAACAAAGATCTTCAGTACAGAGCTGGCCTCAGGGCTGAGAGCCCAGCCTCCTAGGTCTTCAGGGCGGGGGCTGGCTGTGGCTAGAGTGCAAATCTGGACTCTGCCCGGAGCACTGCTCGCAGCCATGGGCCAAAGGGGACAGATAGCTGCTATCTTAGGCCAAACCCGGCCAGAAGCTTCCCATCTGGGGCCGCCTCTGTGGTGCTGCAGCCTCAGGAGCTACACAGGGAGCAGAGACTCAGGCTGAAGTAGGAGGAATCACTCATGTCACAGATCAAGACCAGCTGTGTGACTGAGCTGGTCATTAGTGCTCTATGGGTCTACTGTTTCCTCCGTAAATTCGAAGGGCTGGGCCAGGAAGGCTACATTTACAAAGGTCTACCTTTGCATAGGTCTAGGTCTGTGCTATAGGCCCAAGCAAAGTCAGGGGACTAAACAACCTCCTTTTTTTCTTGTTTTGAGGGAGGATCTCACTCTGTAGACCAGGCTGGCCTTGAACTCATGCCTCAGCTTCCCAGGTACTGGGATTATTAGGCATGCCCCACCATGCCTAATAATCTCCTGTATTGCTACCTTGGTCCTCATATTTTTAAGAGATACATACTTCCAAGTTGAGGGCGATGATTAACAGCCCCCAGAGGGCGGGCTTGAGTGAGAAGACACACACACACCCCTCCCAGCTTCGGCTTCCTGTCTTCACACGTGGACAACTGCACGTCCCGTGGTCTGTCACGTATGCTAGCTAGACCCGTCACTCCGCCTTCCACCCGGAGAGTACTCGCCTTCCCGCGCCCCCTAAGCCAGCCCTTCCCTACCGCAGGCCGGGCCCCTACACACAAGTCTCCCCAATGCAGCCCCTCACCATGGGCAACACCAGGCCCTGGTTGTAGTCCGTGTGCTCCCCGATGAGGTTGACGCGGCCCGGCGCCGACACTGCCAGCTCCGGCTCGGCTCCGAACTCCTCCAGGAAGGCCCGCCGGGCCTCGGCCAGCAGCTCCTCCACCTGGGGCGGTCTCCAAGCAGCCATGACGCTCGTCTGCAGCTGGGCGCGCCGCCCCTCGGGATGCTGGGGGCGGAGCCACGTGGCGCGGACTCACATTCCTGGCCGACGCGATGCCCCGCCCCCTCGCTGGCCCCGCCCACCCCACCTGCAGAGCCCGGTTGAAGCTCTGCTCTCCAGCGCCTGCAGGCTCAGGCAGCTGACAGCCTGAGGAAGAGCGAAATTCTGTATCCTGGGGGTGTCCTCTCAGGACTTTGGGGGCTCCCACTTGAGGGGCAGTTAACACGAATGGAGATCTGAACTGTCCATCCCTGAACCTGGAGCCTCTTAATGCGCTCCCCATTACCATCATCCCCACAACACAGCCAGGGCAATGGGGCTGGCAACAGGAAGGCCTGAGCCCCAAAAGGATCTGCCTCTGAGGTCGTCAGAGCAAACAGTTATGCGAAGTCGTCAGCCCCTGATCATGGCGTCTCTTAACAGGGTGATGTGGTACAAGGACAGCCAAGCTTGAAAGTGACCAGAGAAGTCACCTTTTACAGGCTCTTTTTCTGGCTCCCAGCGATGGAGAACTGAAAGAGGGTGCCAACAGCAGGAAGCAAGCCCAGGCCCTCTTCAGAGGCCCGAAGGCTACTGCAAAATTAGGTTATTGTGTTCGCTCCCGCCAAGTGCTTCCTCCATGAGAGCACTGGTCTCAGAGACAGGACCATCTGTCTAGAGCCTTCATTCTGGCCCAGATCCTTGCCTGGATGCCTGTCTACACCTGCTCACCTTATGTGAAACCTTGTAACAGAAGGAAGGACTGAAATATAAGAAAAGCAGCCTGTCTGGGATTGCAGAGGGAGCCTTGTGGGGAACTGTGGCCAGGGATGCAGCTTGGAGTCGGCTCAGAAGTTTGTCCACAGTTCGCACAGTGCATTCAAAATGCAACTTAGGCGTTTGGCATGTCGGTCGGTCACTGGTGGAGCCTGTACTTACAATGCTCAAGACCCTGGGATCAACCCCTGACACCATATTTTCAAAAGAGAGTAGCTAGAAGAAAAGACAGAGCTAGTAAGACTTTGCAGCCTTGATCGAGGGAAACAGTGGTAGAAGGAAGCACACGTTCAAAGAGACACACAAAATACATTTTTTTTTTCAAAAAAATATTTTCCAAGCTAGGCATGGTACAGAGGAGACTCAGGCAAAAGGATCTCCAATTAGAAACCAGTCTGGGCTACATAGCAAGAGCCTGTCTACAGAACTAACAAGTAAATAGCTTGTGTTATCAAAAGACATGTAAATTAAGAAAGCAGGATGTTGTGCCACGCGGATCTCTGTGAGTTCGGGCTACAGAGCAAGTTCCAGGAAAGGCACCAAAACTACACAGAGAAACCCTGTCTCAAAAAAAAAAAAAGTGGATGTAATGGCGTGGGTTTGTAATTCCAGCACTCAGGACTCTCTACAGCAGGGTAGTGGAAATCCAAGGCCAATCTGGTCCACAGATGGCTACCCAGCAAGAATCTGTATCAAGTGGGGTGTGGGGAGACTGCCAGCAGTAGTGAGTAAATGCCTGTAATCCCAGCTCCTCAGAGACCAAGGCAAGAGGATATGGAAGTCTCACCAGGTGTGGTGGTACTTTAATCCCCAGAACCCAGGACTCAGAGACAGGCAGCTCTCTAGAGGCATGATGATCTGGAGTTCAAGATCATCCTGATCCACATAGTGAATTCCAGGCTAGCTAATACTCCTTAAGACCCTGTCTCCAGGTGGGAGTTCTAGGCCAACCTGGTCTACAGAGTGAGATCCAGGACAGGCACCAAAACTACATGGAGAAACCCTGTCTCAAAAAGCCAAAAGAAAAAAAAAAAAAAAAAAAACAAGCTTCAACAGGATAATAATAAAATTAATATAAATAAGATAAAATAAAAACTAGCACATCGGAATAGGACAAGACCCTGTCTCAAGAACAAACAATCAAAACACAATTGCTAATTTCTTTTGACAGCCAGCTTTTTTTTTTGTTTTTGTTTTTCGAGAAAGGGTTTCTCTGTGTAGCTTTGGAGCCTGTCCTGGAACTCACTCTGTAGCCCAGGCTGGCCTTGAACTCACAGAGATTCGCCTGTCTCTGCCTCCTGAGTGCTGGGATTAAAGGCATGCGCCACCACCGCCCAGCGCGACAGCCAGCTTTTTGAGTATACTTCAATATAGCAATTTTTTGCATAACCAAAGCTACAACAAAACAAATTGGAGATGGTTTAAATGAAAGTCAAAAGCCATGTCTGCCTACAAGGCACCATCCTGTCGTGACAGATCAGCCCCTTTCTCTGCCTAGCTCAGCTGGAAATCTAACAGTCTCAATATCTGTTCAGTTGAACTTGGGTAAGATTCAAACACTCAGAACCTCAGTTGCTCATTTCCACAACAGGGCTGGTGTTTTCTCCGTTGGGTTCGCACTGCACCTGATACTTGGAAGCGCAGAATAAGTGTTTGCTCTTGTTATCAGACTTCCATTAATTCAACAGGCATTATTGGACTCTCCTTTGTGCAACTGGGCAGAAAGATAAAGAGCCTCAGGCTCCTACCATCTGGTTGGGAGGCACAACCTCAAATCTGACCTCTAACTGAGATAAATGCTATGCTTGCATTGAGGTGTAGGACTCATATATATATATATATATATACATACATACATACACACACATATGTATATATATATACTCATATATATATATATGTACTCATATATATATA